TGTCTTTTTATATGATTTCCAAAAGCATGTGAACAAAACTTGCTAAGTATTTTTAAATAAGGTGGAAATCAAGTCAGGTCTGTTTAATCCCCATGAGGTTATAGAGGAATACTGATAACCTGAGACAAATCTCTAAAGTGATCAGTTCCACAAAACCTACTGTCTATCAGTCTCTGAATATAAATGGCCCTCATATTCCTCTGTACTAGTCACAGCCTTGTATAATTTAAAGGAAAATTAGAAGAACAAAACAAAACATAATCTGGTTGGTCCACAGACACTTGGTAAGTTTTTGAACTGTTAGAACTTATAATATCTTAATTCAAATCTAACTTATAAGAAAAGACATAATCATGTATCTTGGGTTTCAGTATTAGAGTTTCTCCACAGCATTTCTCCCACCCCTTTTCTTCTTATTTTTGTCTACCATACCTACAGAGAAAATACCAAGGTCTGTCTGGTCTAGACATGACCACAAGGTCAATTACTTATATTTTAGTACCAAGTCCCAACCATGTGCTGGAGGACAGGTGTAAAAGGCTGTGCACATCACAGCATGTGAGGTAATGTGGTGTGTGTGTGTGTGTGTGTTTACATATGTGAGGTATATGATGTGCTTATCTTTGCATGCATATGGAAGCCAAAGGTTGATGCAAGGTGTTCTTAGTAGCTCTGCACTCACTAAACCTGAAGCTCACTGACTTGGCTAGATAAGAACAGGGGATCCTCTGCTTCCTACCAACCCAGAGCAGGGATGTTCACTGTTGCTTTGCTTTATTGCTGTTTGATTTTAATGTGACTTCTGTTTATTGGTCTCAGGTACTCACATTTGTGGATGCAGAATGTTACCAGTTGAGCTGTTTCCCTAGTCCCCATCCACAACCTGCATATTTCAAATATTAGAAATCTTTATATTATAAATGCCTGAGTTTTTCTCAAGGAACTATAAAATATTATAGACATGAAGCAGGAGCAGTTGTTTTAAATAAATTGTATAATTATTACACATTGGCATTAAGAATATAGTTTTGGTTATAAACATAAAATCATTTCCTGGCTTTCTTCTTAATACTGTCTAGAGAAAGGAATAAAGCTCAGAAATAAGGTGAAAAGCTGCTGAATGTCTTTTCAGTGCCACACATAGATATTGTTTAATAGAATCACAGAAATAACTTATTATTTTAGGAGAATTACTATTTTCTGTTATTTAAAACAGAGTTAAGACTATGAGTTTACATGTGAACTTAAGAAATTTTATTGGAAGAGGTGCAAATGATTTCTTCTGCAGAAAAGCGAATTCAAGGTTGACTGTTTCTTTAATTCAAGGTAAACTGATTCTTAAATCCATCTAGTCTTATTTTTTTTTTTTTTAGTTTACAGCATTGCTGTTGTTTTTTGAGGCAGGATCTCACTTAACAGTTCAGTTTGCCCTGTAATTCGAAGTCTCCCTGCCTTTGCCTCCGACGTGGTCAAAGGCAGGTGCCTCCGAGCTGGGTCTGAGCACTGAATCATAAGATGCTCTATAACTGATCTATTTCCTAAGCGCCTTCACACCATTCCTCATAGGTACGCTGGACACATTGTTCTTATGAGGCTCAAGGTTGGCACTTTGTAAGCATCATTCTTTGCGAATGTAAGTTGTGCTTGGATTCTAGACCTCTTTTGGAAGTGATCTTAAGTATCTGTGGAAAACGCCTCTGTAAACTCAGATCATTACTTCTCTGCAGTTCGGGTAACTGACAAACTTCTTCAAAATGAGGAAAAGAAGACCCCCATCTGTGAACTGTGGGTGCTCTTTATTACAGTGTGGACTGTGATCTAATCTGTCCTCCTGGGCTCCCTCACAGAGATGTCATTTATGTAGAATAGATGGAGGCAGTGGGCTGACATGACCCTGGAAGGTTCAAATGGAATGGTGATTAATGTAGCTTCCAGGCTGCCTCTGACCACCAGCTTCCTGCAGCCTTTATTTGAGTATGCTATTTTGAATACTGTTTTATTAACATTTCTTTCCTAACAGATGCTTTGATTTAATATTTTGGGGTTTATATTAGTTTCCTCCGCACAAACACTTTGCTTTCACTGTTGGCCAATTAGCTCAAGTGCCAAATGAAACTCAAAATATCACAACGCGGTTGCTAGATTCTATTTTGTGAATAGAAAGAATTCAATAGAAAACAAAATAAAGTCTTTTAAGGAAAGAAAGAACAGGTGAATAAGTAGCTGGGTGGAAATATTTTAGAACTAAGCAGGTGTATTTATTACTACTGCTAAAATTAAAAAGGAAGTTTGACTGTAAACTAAAGGCCCCAAATCATCATTAAAATGTTCCCATGGGTCAGATACAATGTTACAGGCACCTTGTACCCACATCAGTGACTTTGAAAAGCACAGAGGGTTTGAGGAATGCTTAAGTGGCTGTGTTGTTAAATCCTAAAAACAAATTCTCAATGTGCTTTGTAGAACTCCAGGGCAATTATTTACATAGAATAGAAATAAATCACTTTCTCATGTTATCTGTGTGAAACATTCCATTTATATCTTTCCATTGTGAAACAGAGGCAGTTAATTTGTTTCTACAGAATATACTTGAAGCCTTATATAAACACTTTGTGTATAAAAACAAGCCCATATGATGGAATTCCAAAGCTTATTCAGAAAATCTGACTATAGCAATTGCAGTCATCTCTCCAAGGGAACACGACAGGCATCTCAGCATCTGCTCAGTGGCAGCAGCAGTCCCTCGGTTCCCAGTCTGCTTCTGTCTTAATTTTCTGCCCTCTTTTTTGTTAGCTTATTTAACCTACAGTTTTGTAATTAAAGTACAATGCCTGTAAGATTCTTGAAAACTGTCTCACTCAATCTCATTCATCTCACCTGGGTCTTTAGCCCCAGCAGACTTGAAACAAGTTATAGTAGCACATCTGTGCCTTGGTGTTCTTCTGAGCTTGCTCATCATTCAGATTTGCAAATGGAAAGCATGGGAAGGGGGAAAATGTGCATGGTCCATGGTGTGTTTAGACCAAAGGACTTGAGTTTGATTCCTTGAATCAAGTAATCAACCTCCAAATAAACAATACCAGGATGCTGCTTAGTATAGCATTCCAACTGAGTCTTTTACTATGCCAGGCCTGGCACAGATGTGGTCATGCTTCTTCTCCATAATTGAAAAGACTGCATGCCAGAATGGAGTCCACGTTATTATCTTTTTATCAATTCCTGTGTTTAGTACTTATTCCTTACATGTTGATAGCTAGGTTTAATTCTCACAAAACACTGTTTTCTGATTTCAAGGGTTTAAAAGCATAAGTTCACTTGCAGATGCCAGTAGTATCATCTCTGTGTCTTTTCTTTTAAAATTTTATTTCTACTACTTAATTTTTCCCCATAATGGTAATCATAAGATACTTATTGATATATTATTCAGAATCCATTTAGATGTGAACAATACAAATTTTAGTAAGTTCAAGCAAAAAAAAAGCCATAACAAAATATATACATTCTGTTGGGTGGCAACCTGACTGTCTCCCCTCTAAGATCCTCATGCCCTTTTTCCTTGCTTAAATGTAGCCAGGAGGTGTCTTTTACTATCCAAACAAGCAGACTATTGTTCTGTTGGCACACACAGTAGTAAACATTGATTATTATGGTTTGAATGAAAGTGTTCCCTCAGACTCATGTGTTTGCCCAGTTGGTAACGCTATTTTAAGAGGTTGTCAAAGTTTCTGAGATATGAGAACTGGCAGCTGTGGGCACTCCAAGTGGTGACCCTTGGAGGCTATAACATGACACCACTTGTGACCCATTTTTTTTTCTGTTTCCTAGTCCTTAGAGATATGAAGAAATTTCACCATAAGTTTCCATTAATGTGGGCAGAGATGAACTGCACTCTTTAAACAATGTGTGAAAACAAGCCTCTCCTCCTTCAAGTTGTCCTGTCAAGTCTTCTCTCCCAGCAACGAGAAGAGAAACTAATTCATTAATCACCACTTCTAAGAACCACAGAGGATGGAGCTCTGTGTGCAGTAGCTACACTCTTCCCTGTGTATTGAGGATTTGTGTTTTTCCTAGCCAGATTAAAGGGCTCTTTGATTCCCCCTTTAAATTGATGCATAAATTTAGAGCCAGTCCTACCATTGTTACTGGAACTAATGGCAAGGAAATACATATTCAAAGTAAATAACGTATTCCTCAAACAAGAAGGTGTACAGAAGAGTGACCATAGAAACAACATGAGTACATAAACCATTGTCAATCCCTTCATTGCAGGCACTCACATTTTTACTCCTGCCTGCAATGATTCACATATATAGTATAGTGCACTGACCACTTCTATAACAAGAATGAATTTATTTTCTTATTATTATAACATCTTACCATCAGTTCATGATCACTGAAGGATGAGTATCACACTTGTGAGACCTTAATCCAGAGCCTCATGTTCAATTATTAACATAATCTGCAAACACCAAAGGAGAAATAAAAGTAAAATGTACCTTTTTGAGGAGTTAGGAAGATGCATCTGTCAGTAAAGTACCTGCTGCATAAACATGGAGACTTGAGCTTTATTCCCAGAACACATATAAAAGTCTATGTACAGAGGTATGTGTGCATCTGCAATTCCAGCACTGGGGAGATGACAATAGGAGATCCCTGAAGCTAGATGACAGCCAAACTGATATGCTACAGGTTTAGCTAGTGGCCCTAGTTCAAAACTTGAAATGGGAAATGACTGTGGAAGATACCCAGATATGCTCTGCGCATACGTGTCTGTATGTGTCCATGCATCATTACGCACACATACATAACCATAGAAACAGACAAAAACATTTATCTGAAAAGAGGAAGCTAGAAATGATAGTGGTCTGGAAAGCTTCTCCACTCACTCAATACTTTCTGCTAATGTCATCAAGGAGCTAAGGACACAGATATAAAGCAGATTGCTGAGATGGTCTCCTCACTCAGAGGCTCTCAGCTACATAGGACTATGCAAGCTAACTGCCTGTAAGAGCTTGGTCTCCACATTGTGTAGTGAGCATAGAATGGGCCCAATGTGGGAATAGATACACAGATCAGTTAAAAGTGTGTTCTGATCTTTCAACTCTTGCACAGGACCTAAGTTTGGTTCCCAGTTCTCACGTCCATTATCTCACAGCTACTCAGAATTCTAGTTTCTAAAAATCTGATGTCTCTGGTCTATGTAAGCATCAGCACTCATGCGCACATGCTGACACATACATACATATTTAAAATAGAAAAACACAAGTATTTTAAATGATCCTAATCTTATATATGTTGTAAGGAATGAAATAATCAAAATGTAAAACTATTGAGTCTTTATATCAATGCTGGTTTTCTGCTCTTTCTCCTCCATTATACCTCCTTCTGTTTCTCCCTGCTTCCTTCACTGTCTCTAATCTACAGCCTCTAGGATTTAAACCAGATGTCATTTGAAGGTGATCACTTTGTTTCCTAAAGAAAGCTATGGATTTTTTTCCTTGAAGAAGCTCCCTTGATTAGTTTTTTAAATCTACCTGCCATTAAGCTCTGGCCATAAATCCATTTATAAAGTAGATACAGACACTTGATTTGATGTGGAAAGAAAAAGGCCACAGTCAAACGGATCTGGCCATTAGGATAGCTGTATTGCTATCCACTGAAAGTATTTCTCTGCATTAATGAACAGTAATTCCTACTTCTCTCCCCTTGCCCACTCTCAGAGTGACAACCCTCCCAGAGTGTCACAGCTGTGTTCATGGTAGCAGAGCTGCTCTTGAGATGTTCTGATGACAATTTCTAGGAAACCCAACAACCCACCCCTACACAGAAAGCTCCAAGGGGACGCAGAGAGAATTAAGCCATATATGAGGCAAATGATGGCTCAGGATTCTTCTGAAACAGGAAGCAAAATTTGTCTGGTTGAAGTGACAGCTCTGCCTGCTGATTCTATACTAATATTATGAGGTTGCTTCTTGATTTTGAGATGATATTTTTCCAACTAACCCTGAGAGTCATCAAAGTCAAAATCACTTCTGTATTTATGATGACTCAGAATTTTTTTTCTATTTTCAATCACAAAATTCTTTGTAATGCAAAGTCATGACTGGCTGATTACTCTCAGCCTAGGGGTTGTCAATGACATGAGAATCCAAATACACTCGTTCTTTCATGTCTTACAGTTTCATCTTGAGTATGTCAAGCTCTTGGACATCTATTGCAAAGTGAAGAGCTTGAGTTTTAAAATGCTTAGAAAGTTATTACAGCTTCCTACAAGTTTTTGAATTTCAGGGCTTATTTTCTTTGACACTTTTGGGGTACTTGACTTATTAATAATGATTAATAAATACTGAAGTAGGTTCATGCTAATGTCGATGAAGTTAGCAGAGAGTGAAGAACAATTTTGGCTGCTAGGTTTTAAGGAATACTGTATACAGAGTTTGGGATGCGACATTTCTTTGGTGTATATCTGGACTCCAGTAATGAATTGGTAAGTCTGACTTTTTTAATAATAAGGATGCAAGTTTAAATTCACTAAGCAGAATGACAGATTTTATTTCAAGAGTTGACAACAGAAATCATGGGTCACTTAAACATAATCACTTGCATAGAAAGTTATGTGCAACAATCTGAATTATAACTTGCATAACTTGTTTATAAACAGGAATGACACACTTCATTTTTCTAGTTCATTGTTGAATCAAAGGCTTTAACAATTTTCTAATATTATGGAGAAAGATTTTGTAAACAAATGAATCATTAAAGCATAGAAGTTATAGCCTTCGTGTATGTGTGTGCCATGTGTATACAGGTATGCCAGAAGAGGGCATTATGACCCTGGAAATAAAGCTGCAGCTGGTTGCCAGCTGCTCACCACTGATACTGGGAACTAGACTAGAGCCCTCCAAAAAGGCAGCAAGAGTTCTTAACTGATGAGCCCTTTCTCTCGTCCCTAATTCATATCTTTAACAGAGAAATTTCCTGTAATGAGATGAATATCAGTGTTCTCAGTATACAAATAAACCCACATAATGGTTTGTTTACAATTGATCTTTTTTGTTGTGAATAATAAAATAAAAATTAAGCATGGATAACGTTCACCAGTAATCATCTACTTAATAGTCTGCTTCAAAATTTCTCTCTTCTTCAGATCCATTAGGGCTCATTGAATCCATCATAGGAAAAAAGGGTTCATATTGACTTCTTTTCTGTAATTATTAACTCACAGTTGCTCTCCTTATTTTTCTTATAACACGAATAGTATTTCTTTCTATACACATATCTTAACTTATTTAAATCTTGTATAGATATAAAGTTAATATATGTTCTATTCCAATAATTCATTGTCTCAATGGGTTTTGTACAGGAAATTGTTATGAATAAAGCAATGTGTGTTTTCATATGTATACACCATAAAGTAAACACTTTGATTGTATTTATATCATATTTTCAAAGATTTGTTTATCTGTGTATGTGTTTGAGTGAGCGCATATACATGTGTATGTGCAGGAATGCACACCCACGAGCCTCTGAGCCATATCTCAAGAACTCATTTCATTTTTAATTCAATATTTTACTTTATTTAGTGACAAATACATTATTATAATTTATTTTTCAAATTAATTCCCCATTTCTGGACATTTTAATTATTGATGAGATGTTCATATTAGCATATATATTGCTCTTAGAACTCTTACATCAGATTCTGCACACACATCAGTAATTACAGGTTATGTATAACTTTTCCTAAATGTAACTTATGATGTCTCTGTTTTCATATTTTTCTTCTAATATCTACATTTGTCCTTTTGAAAATCTAGCCCATGCCCTCAGCTCTACTGCCCATTTCTCCCTTGTCATAGAAAGCTGGGTACAGATAACCCATACCTCTTGATTCCATAATAATGTCCCTGAACTGGGGTCACATCTTCCTTTGGAAGCAAACTGCTTTCACATGTATCCACCATCATTTAAAAGACTGCTTTATTCTCAACCCTGGACTCCAGATCATAAAGTAACCCTTCTCCACAAGGGAGGTGCCCTTCTGAAGAAACACTTAGACACTTGATTGGGGTTCTGAGATATGTCTGTTGTCCTCAGAAGGATGGCAAGAGACATTCAGTGTTGAGAGTGAGTTTGTTTTCCTGTCCCAGTGTTTGCTCTTTGTTCCTCACCTCAAAATTTTCGTGTCTCTTGAATGAATTATAAACGTCCACCAATCATCTAGATGGGTTAAATCCCTTTTTATTCAAATTTCTTTAGCTTAGAGACTGAGTTTTGCATCAAACTGAAGAATTTTTGGCAAAGTCTTACTATATATTGAATTTCCAGAAATTAAAACACTATGCAAATTGCCATTTTTTTCTCAAATTGCCATTTCTTTTGCAGCATTCAGAAAACTATCTCATCATTGGCAATGTAGCTCAGTGTTTGAGTTACTTACAATAGCCCCATAGGTCTGCAGTCATAGCTGCTGTAAGCTTTTGTGTGAAAAAGGGATTCACTTCACTCATCCATTCTTGGAAGAATATTAACTTTCTCTCCCATTTCTATTATAATTATCCTAAGAGTTTATGTATTGGGGTGAATATTGCTATATTTGTATTAATTTGTTTCTTTGATATTTAAAGGGTTATATTCATATTCTTGATATCTAAATTTTTCATTTCAAGATAAACAAAGGAAGAATAATATTCATGTAAAAAAGGAGGTTGGAGTCTGATAAAAATAAAAACTATTGACTTAGAATAAATGTTAAATTCTTCTGTTTTTCGTAAAATGCTGTCAAAGTCTATATATTCTATGTTCATGAATATTGTTGTGTTTACAAACTTTATTGTTATCTAACCATCAACTTATATGAACTTTACATAAATTTATCTAATTTTTCCTTGAAAGATAAACTGCATTGCTCTAAAAATCTATGGACTTTGGTAAAACTGATTTAGGTTAACATTTTATCTTCTTCTCTTAGTTGCATATGAACTTTTTACTCTTAAAAGAGGATAAATCACTTCCACAGGCAAATATTCACAAGTGCACACACTGTAACATAAAGATTAATAAAACATAGATAATATGCCTGCTCTATTAACATAAGCATTTATTTACTATAGTAATTCCCCTTCATTTCTGTATGCTGTATAGCAGGAATGTAACTGTTCTACCTTCTCTGAGAATCTTTCTTGCAGTATTATATTAATGTTGTAAAACCATGTGACATCAGGCTAACAAAATATGGCCACGGTGATTACCACATAGTTTTTGGAGTAGGTACTCATGGGTGTGTTGCCACAGAAATAATTAAAAACTCCTTTAGTAATAGTCTTTTCATGACCTCTGGAGGAAAATTTTCATTACTTCTCCAATAATCTTTCAGATAAATTTGATGCTGGGTATTCACAAAAATTTTGTTTCCCATCTGAGCTGCCATTTCTACTGAATATCAAGAACTTACTTATTTTTGGCTTACAAATTGTTATGAACTGTGTTTCCATTCAATTTCCTTTCACCTGAAATGGAAATGTGAAGTATTTACTGAAAGTAAGACAATTTTTGCTTTGCTATAAATGAAACATTTCTGAAAATTAATGCAGAACTCTAAGTTAACAGCAGTAAATTAGATTCCTGCATGGATGCTGCAGACGGGACTTAGGGAGCTTAAGTCAATTCTGCTATTATTATTATTTGTAAAACTCATTTCAGAAGTTGCTTATTTCTTCCAGTTGGATTTCCTTATCTAAAATATTAATCTACAAAATAAATTCTCAGAAAGCTAATGTAAAACTTCAGGCCTGACCAGTTTCTTAGACAATGTCCTTATACTGTTAGGGACTTGTGGGGAATATTCTGCAGAGAGGATCAGACACAATTGCAGGAAAGAGAACTAGTTTGGGATGAAAAAGACAATGGGAAATCTTGTCTCTAGCTAATAATGAAGAGTTGGACTTCCTTGTAGAACCTATACAAAGAAGCATATGCTACATTCTGAGGTCACAGACAAAACTGTAAGACTCTGGATTAGCAAAGCCTTGTGAGCAAAAAGGGGACATCACTCCAAATACTAAAAATTTTGAGTATTGTCTCGCATGACAATGTCTAGTAATTTAAAAACATAACATCACACATTTTGTTAACATTGGGTTGTTATATTTATATTCCAATACTATAAGTAGATATTTTTATATTAATGGGCTATGTAGAAAGACTCTTTTATTTTAAGTGTATTCCTCCAAAAGAAACAATTTTGATTTTCTATTTCCAGTTCAAAAAGGTGTACTCCCAGAGATGGTGAATAACTAGCTCCCTTCTCAAGGGCAGGTCTCTAGAACACTCCAAAACACTAGAAATTAGTACTTGAGTTAGTAACAACCATGTTGGGAGTATATGATTCATTTTACAAACTTTGTACCAAACAATCAGAATGAGTTTCTAAAATTAATCCTATTAATAGAACATATAAAGTTTTTCTTTAAAATGTTTTTATTCCATAAGTTCAACCAACAGATAAAAGATTGAAGAAGTAAGTCATTTCAAACCTGTAATAAATAATTTACATGTAACACAGACTGAAAAACAAAGAAGGCTAAAGCCAATTCTTTACGTCCATTGATAGACAAATCATTTGCCATCGCATACTGACATCAGTAAGCATATTTATTATATTTAAAACTAGATTGATTGTTTAGAGGCATAAATTATAAAGCAAGATAACTAAATTAGAGGAGCTTTAACAAATATTGGCGTTTGGAATTTCTTAGAAAACATTCAAAAGCCTCACTGCCAAAGCCTGTGTACTCCATATTGGCTGTAAGGCAAGAGTGCAGGTGCTGGTCCTGGAGAGCTCGCTCTCTCTCTCTCTCTCTCTCTCTCTCTCTCTCTCTCTCTTCCTCCCTCCCTCTCCCTCTCTCTCCCAGTAGAAACTAGATTATAAACTCAAAGCACCACAGGTGAGCCCAGGTTGAAGAGAATCTCCATCACCCAAGCCATATCCTACTGAAGAAGATGATGACTTGGGATATCACTTAATAAAGTCATTTGTTGACTCTACAGATACAAAAGAGTCAAAGATACTGTTTAGATATTTTGAATAACTTTTCAAAGCTATGATAAGAGAATTCTCTTTGATCAGAGAATATCAGGCAGCTCCCTTTAATCAGAGAATGTGAGTGACTAGGTCATAGACCCTTGACTTGGTTCTGCTAAGAGGAAGAATTGAAAGCCAAGGTAAAGAACATGGCCAATTGAACTAGCATGCAGGCCCCATATCAATTAGGTTGTGGCTTAAGTTCAAGGTTTCCTCATTCACAGCATCTTCACAAGTCAGTTAAGAAGTTATTGAGGACACAGTAACTGCTATTGTTGCCTCTCTGTTGACATAGTTCAGATATAGGTGAAGATGCTAAGATCATCGAGTTGGCAAGAGAACCCCATCACAATGTTATGTGAGATATGAGGATCCATTCATCTTTATTATAGATAAGGAGGACTTTTTTGTTTTGTTTTGTTGATTTGGTTTATATGGCTGGAACTGGTCAGGCCTACACAACTGGAGGCAGAAGCAGTAGATCTCAGGGAAATTTTATTTCTCAGGTATCCTTGCCCTGTTATGTAGCTGCCATACTCTCCCATCTCTGGTAGGATTGTGTTCCATACAAGGAATGTGTCCTCCATCCAAAGAAGTGACACAGAGCAGGGGACATCTTGCCATGCAACAGTATTGTAAATTTGACCCATTTTATTCAAGCATTCAATTTTTAATAAACGTGTTTAATATACTTGATTTGGGGTATTATTTTACATAAACAAACTCTACGTTTACTTTAAATGTGTTTTAACTTACTGGTTTTAGGCTTAATTTTGATAATATATAAGAAAGACTCTATACTGGAAGATATAAACTGAACCCTTTCTCAAAGCTTTCTTGTCTCTAAAAGAATTGAAGTTGTACTTAGCATGATTACAAACATAATTCTGAAAACAATAAATAATTTGACCATGCATAAGGTGAATGTCCATTAACTTGCAAATCTTAATTATCTTTAAGCGTTTGCAACAAGTTAATAACTTTTATAAGATTAGGATTTTATAATTTTATATCTACTAAGTTTGAGCCTTAAAACTTTATAACTTTTTAAAGTAAAGATCTTTTAATATCAAAATTTTAAACCATAAATACAGGCCATAGACAAATCAGGAACCTCATTTTACAAAATACCATAGTTTTTTTGGGGGGGGATTGTTTGCATATGACTCAGTTTCTGCAAGTAATTAAATCTTAACAAAGTTAACAAAGACATAGTGATTAGACATACATTTTTATGTAAGTCTCTGCTAGTCTGAACAGACCATTATAACCTTAGAAATTCATACCTTAATTATCAAGCTAATATCTACCGTAATTTATACCTCAATTGTCAAACATATGTTGTTTCTCTGTTCCATTTTCCACAAATCTTGTTCTTGGCTGTATCCTAATTTGTTATTTTTCACTCTCAGAACAAAAATCATCATATAAAATTCAGTCTAATCCAAAATATCTTAGAGGCCTGCTGTTGCCTCCTTAATGTGGAGAAAAGAAAATAAATCAACATTTTTGTAGGCCTTATTTTGCTTGCTTTGTCTAAAGAAATGAGACAATAAGCAATGGGAACTCTCAGTAGAATGATGAATTTTATAGCTGCTGCTATAGTTGGTTTATATCACATGGTCATATTAACCAAGACAATGGTGAAGTCACATGTCCTTTCTTCTCTATATCCTTAGTAAAAATGGTGGCCAGGCACACTGTTGCTTTCAAACTGATGAGGTCATTAGACAAGATGGCAGCAATCCACACCACGTGGCTACTATATACTCACACACACACCCTTTTCTTACTTTTGTCTTCAAAAACATTTATTTTCCTAAAAAAGTTGAATTCAAATTGCATACATAGTATGCTGCAGCAAATTAAGATTATTTATGTAAAGATAAAAATCATCACTTTGCTACAAGTTTTCAACTGACTATTTTTCTGCTTGCAATTCAACAGATTTGTTTTTAAATCACACCCAATAAACTTTCAAATCCTAAAATACAGAAAGCTAAACTTTATACTTCAACAAAAGACTGAAAGGTTATAAATAAACCAAGGAAAGGGATGTATTTAAGGGGTTAAGCATCTGTATCATACACGTTGCCATTTGTAACCTCTATAGGAAATAGTTTACCTCTTAGCTGTTGTCAAGTACATAGTATCCTTTCCTGGGTTGTTTGACATTGTTCTCTGTCTCCATATCACAGAGTTGGGTGGCCATCCTGACCCAGGACAGATACTGTGGAGTAAGAAGGACGTCAAATTCCTGCTCTAGGGCCAGCCTTTCAGGAGATTAGAAGAGCATGAAACAGTTTTCCATTATTATCCATACCCAAAAGACATTTTAATCTCTGTAAAACTGAACCAAGTGATCTGTATAAGCATTTCCAGTTTGTGTGTGTTTGCAGTTAAGACTGAAATGCTTAACATATGTTTTCGAAATGATAAAGATAAAATCAGGCTTTTTCAGACTTGCAGAGGCAGAAAAACAGGTAGGTCAAAGGCATGCAGCCAAAGAGACATACGGTAAAGGAGTCTTGTCCCATTTCAGGAATTATAAAGGTCCAAATTCAGAGGCCCAGAGCAGTCAGGCTCTCAGCATGGTTACAAACCAGAACCTTGAGAAAGACTAAAGTAAAATGGGAGAGTTATAGGGAAAGAAGACTCATATTACGCTACCATTCTGTCTTTGGGGCTATGTAAACTCGTTCAGATATTAAAAACAAAAGTTTCAAACTTGTGTCAACAGTGTGGAGTGTAAGGTTGGACTTTTTTTGGACCACCATCTCCCAGAAGCTTATTATTAAGTATGAAACCTTGCTTGCTCCCAACTAGCAATCAGAACCTGAATTAACACGTTTATATTAAACTACATTCTGCTACGTAGTTTGTTACCTCTCCTCCATACTCTACGACTGACTTCCTTCACATCTTGCTGGTGAATCCTCTGTGCCTCAGATTCTTCCCAGAGTTCCTATCTTTGCCCGGAAGTCCCATCATAATCATAGGCATCACAAAGTGGAAGAACACATTCCTCATTCTCATATGGTGAAACTTAACTTGGACACAAGGTTTGACACTGGTGTCATTATGCTCTCACTTGAGATTTTGAAGCCCATTTTCTAACAGAGGAAAGTGCCTAGCAACTGTGCTGGGCTGGAACTAGAACTGCTATGTAAATTGTCTTCACTCTCTATTCTTGAAGCGTTCTGCCATATGGAAGTTTCTCTAATAATCTGAATTGGATAATTGGATATTATAAGATTTGTGTTAACTTAATACAATGGTGTATTGTCAGCACTAACCCTTTTAAAATTATTTCCCTCGATCCAAAATAAAAAATTATACACACACACACACACACACACACACACACACTTATTATATATTTGTTACAAGGAAAGAGAATGGAAGGACAGAGAAAAGAAGATAATGGAGAAGGGAAAGAAGGGATAGCAGATGACTATAAAATTCTTTAAATTTTTATTTCAACAATATTAATTGAATTATCTAGAAAACAGAAATCCTGCCTCTCCTTCACTGTAAACTAATGGTCTAAACCATACTCTTCTCCTGAAAAGCATCAACAAGCCTTACATCTGGCTCCTTCTGTGCATCAGTTTCTTTATAGCATCTAGAAATTATTTTCAAATGAGATCTAAGGACTTTGTTTCATTGTTTATAGGTTTAAAAATAAACTAGAAGTATAACATGAAAATAAATGTTCACCAATTCTACAATAAAAACCTTATGTTTCTATAAGCAAAACATCACTGATCTGGTGGATAGACAGTCAGGGAATAGTGCAGGGGCTTGTTTATCAAATTATTCTTGCTTGTAAATTAAGATGCCCTCGAATCACAGTAATTATTTAACATGCACAGCTGCTCCAAGGAAGAGGAAAGAGGGCTTGAACTAAACACAGTCTGGGTTTGAAAAAACCAACCTAAAAAGCAAATGCTTCCCCTAGAAAGCAATAGGACTTTCATGCAAATCATATTCTATATCTTCAAATTGATAATACAGTTTGATAATACAAATTGATAATGTAACTCTGTAACATCCCTTATTGTCACTAGTTGTCAACCACGTGTTAAGTAACTTTGCCAAGTCTTAAGCACAGGATAGTGACCGGCGGGGGTGGGGGCCCAGTAAGAATCATATCATTTGTTTAGGGCATTAAAGTTTTTCCATGCATAAAGAAGTGTGGTTTCCAATTATTAAATGGATTTTTGAGGTCCAGGTCATGTGTCTCTATAACTGAAGTTGCAAAAAAAACCTCAGAAGCAGAAAACTAAACATCAATTAAAAACAAGAAAAAACTATGATGCTTATGTCAGGTATATTGTTTGTTTGTTTCTCAATTGAGCAATACCTGATCTGGCATTATCAGTAAGGGGCAATGTTTCTGGGAGACATTGCTGAAGCCTAACAATATCTTGTGCTGTGGCTGTACATTGTGGAAAGAGCTCAAGTATCAGACTGTATAGATGAGGTGCTAATTTTCTTATGTACTCCCTCATATTAGTGGATTATTATGCTAAAATACTTAATCATCTTGAGATTGCATCCAAATAAAAATGATGAGGGATGTATCCCAAGTTCTGTAGTATTAGCTGAGATATTATCCATAAATCACCTGGTAGAATCTCTGATGAAGACTTAGATCTTCAAGTGTGAGGAGGGGTGTAGGCTGAAATAGTTCACATGAAATCTGTGCAATAGAATTCCTTATATTTGACCTTTCTCCTACCAGATAACGTGTGTGGTCACAGAATGTATTCTTAGCAACATCATGTTTTTAGGAATCAGATTTATCTAATCAATAACTGAAGTAATTCATTTGCACTGCAGAGTGCAGTTTCAGTGCATGATAACAACACAGGTATTTATCACACAATCAATCAGCATCTAAACATTAGTTTATTTTCCATCACAGACACTATTGCCTTCCATCACCCTCTGCACAATCGATCAATGTGCACAGCTGGGAGTGGAACTGCACCATTTTTAGAAGCTAGAGGAATCTCTTCATGAATGCAGCAACGTTTGTCAAGTCATGCTCCTAGGATGAGCCTAGTCATTGCCCAATATGCATGGCACCCATTGGGTACTAAGGAATGCCTTCCTGAGGCATTGGTGTGCCTCTGTGATAACACCAGGCTGGAACATCTGTAATATATATATATATATATATATATATTGAATATATATATATATATATTCAAAACCATTCGTGTGCCAGGAGTGCACATGTTCTGTTTCAGTGTGTTCATTTCTTTTTCTGTTGCTGCAGCTGATTGGTTGTGAGGCCATTATCCGTGTTGGTTAGACATGCTGTGACATTTACTCAGTTATTAGCTTGAATGTGTTTCTTATGTTGCCTTTTGAAGTTCTTAATTTTACCTCAATAATATTTTCAGCAGTTATTTGCTTTATAATTTTTATGTTTTGTTAAAACTCTTCTTTTCCCCAAGATTAGGAAAAAAGTCCTACCATATCAGTAGGTTTCCATTTCTATTTTACTGACTTATGGTTAAGTCTTACAGTTATATAAGAAGTTCATTTAAAGTATTTTCTTTTTTTCTTAAGTGAGCCAACAGCAATCCAAAACCAGGCACTGAAAATCTATTCCTGTGTAATGATCCACAGGGCCAACAACATAGATTCCCTTCATTGTGCCCTATCTCCACTCTGCTCCCTTTGCTAGAATTCTATTCTCAGTCCAATTCCAGTCCATTAAAATCTTTATGACTTTTTAGTAATTTTTACCATAGTGAAGGAAATATTATTCCTTATGGCTATTTTGGTTCTATACACTCTTAAATAATCTTAAAAACAGGTTTGTAAAACTTCATAGAGATTCGGTGGGGCTAAAGTCTAGAACTATTCTCCAGAAATGTTTTTGAAATTAACAGCACTAGCTAACAACATGAACACTCCATATATTTTATTCCTCTATTACCCTTTTAGATAAATATTATGATTTTTTTTATGGAGGTAATAAACTTTCCTTTTGGCTTTATTCCTGGATATCATGTCTTTTCCCCTTCCCATTTATACTGCTATTTATGTAAAATTACACTTCATAATAAAGTTTAATTATTTAATTTTATACATTTTAAATGAAAATAGAATCATATCACTTACCCACTTTCCCTTTCTTCTCTTCATTCTAGGTTTCTTCCTTCCAGTTCCTCTCATGCTTCCCTGAACTCTCAACTTGATATTCTCTTTTTCTTTGATTATTATTGTTGCATACACATAGCTGTAATTTTTAATAGCAATCATCTCATCCTCTATCCTGGAAGGTTGTTTAATTTTTAATTCTTTCTCTCATCATAACTGATTTCTATTACTTTGAGGCTTGCCAGACAGACCTTCAGTAAATACTGAAGTGGTAAAGACTGTATGTACTTGACTTATCCTTGATGATAAACAGAATGATTTCAATCTTTTACTTTATTTGCAGTGTCTGTTGCAGACCAGTGTTTAGACACTCATAGCTTAAGGTATTTCTTTCCCCTTTTGATCTGTATTTTCGGTAAGGTCTTCACTTGGTGTTCTTAAATTTCCAGCCTTAGAAGTGGCCAGGGAAAGACCTTTTCTTGTATGACCCTTGTGTGTCTTTGCTATAACGCTTCCTATCCCGTTCCTACCCTCAGCTTCAGTCACACTGCACCTTTTTTTTTTTTACTTCTCTATATTCCAGACACTGTTGGTGCCCGTAGGCCCCAACATAGAAACTGTTTACCCTACCTGGACCGGTATGGAGGCACAAGAAAATAACGGACACAGTTCACACAGTCATCATGAAAGGACAACTCCCACTTCCTCTAACCTGAAGATCTACCTGCTTTTATCATACAAAACACCTTTTATCCCCCAGGTAAACCAAGGTGAATCTTCATTAATATCCTCTTTCTCCGGGACTCAGGGCTAGGGAAACACCTGCAACCTGTAACTTAGTCACCAGCTTTGAAAAACACCTCTCCCCAGGCGATCTACATATTTAACAAAGGAGAAGGAGCAATACATCCTGGCCTTTGTTAGTTGGCTAACTTGCTTGTTTGGCAGGATTGCAGCTGCCTAGCAGCCAGTGAGCCTGCCTGTAAATTATTTCATAAGAAATATGGGCCCACAAGACACATATCTGTCTAGTAAGTATTTCTGCTCTGCTGTCTCCTCCAGATATCTGCAGGGCAGCCACATCTCCACATTTCTAGGTTTGGGGCCATTAGTGGAAAGTCTCATTCCCAAGATATGCGAAAGCCACTCCCCTCACCTGCACCTTGACATCTTCCATTTCCCTCCTCACTTTCACTTTGACATTTCAGCTTATTGTTACGTGATACATTTTTATCTTGCTATCGTCTTGTTAACGAGAATTTTCTCTTGAGAATTCATCTATACCTTCACAAATAAATCAACTGAGAATATGCCTAGCAGACAAATAGACTCCATTTTGTTTCTTACATGAAATGCTCACTGTATCCTGCATATACTAATTATTATTTATCAGAAAGGAAAAATACATGGAGACATCTTTCACTGATATGCATTCATCCAGAAGTAGGTATCTGTAGTCTTTTGGAGTGACATTTTCTACTTGTTAATTTGCCTACTAAGCACAACAACTAAATTAGGATTTTTAGCTGTTTTATAATTTTTATATATTTCTTCTTATAAATAATGACTGTCTCAAATATAGGAAAATATATTTCCTTTCCTAGTTAAAATGATGTAGAGTAGCAAAAAGTTATTTTTAATGTGGAACAGATTGACTGAAGCTATGTTTCTATGGCTACTAAGATCCTTGAACAAAAGATGAAATAACAAACACATTACTGAATGCTATGGTCTCCATGAATTTTGCTTTCATGAGCTTGTATATCTTCCAAGCAATAGCAATTGTTTTCATTTCAAATGGAGAAAAATGAATGAATTTT